AAAAAAAAATAATAATAATAATAGTAATCGTCATCATCAACAGAGTAATAATTAGAATAGTGATGATCATCATCATCATAATAATCATAATAACAACAACACAAAAAAATAAAGATCATTTCTATAACGCCCACTCCCTGGTGGTTTTAGGCGCTTTTAACAAACTAACAAACAAACAAAAAAATTGATTTAATCAAAATTCCATACATACTTGTCCATTCAAAGTCCACACTTCTTTCAAAGACGGAAACTCTAAATTTAAGAAACTCTCTCATTTAGAACTCGTATTCACCTTTTGTGAGCAATAGCAAAGAGCCCGTCTATTACACTACAGACGTCTGTGTGGATGAATCACTTTAGCACATTACTGGTATTATCATAGCGATGTTCATGTTAGCTGGATTTGAACGACATACACCCTGTGGGAGTAATCTTATTAGATGATGCCGGTTGAAAAAACTAAAGCACAGTTACTTGGGGCTTTTTTTCATATCTAAGTGAAAAAAAATAAAAACTGCAGGGCTGATCAAGGAAAAGGACCAACTTTGGTGAACTGTTCATCAGCGAGTTTTCCCATTAACATTTTCTTTCGTCTGTTGATTTCTGTCTCAGCAGGATCACTCTAGTCTCAAAATACGATTTGACGGATCATGCTATTGTGTCTCATGATCTGTACTGTTTTCAGATCAAGACTTTAAACTGCACCATCAACAAATCGTCGAAAATAATGTGTATGGTCACCCTTTTTAACAAAGTGAGACACCAGTAACAATTGGTAACACTACGAATACATCAAAGGCCATCGGGTGCACATAACAAAATGATACTATGAAAAACCATTCGCAAATAAAAAAACAACAACAAAAAATTGAAAAATAATATTTTACCTAGCCCGTCTCGGTTACCTTTAACTTCCAGCTTCGTGGGCGAGATTAAATTTTCTACCCAAAAATAAAGAAAATATAATTAAATGTCGTGGAATATTGAGATAATAGCCGACAGCTGAACTCAAAGAGATGCTTGGTGGAGGGTAAAATACGATTATTATTATCATTATGCTTTATGAATAATAGTATTATAACACCCACATGCATGTATTTATTTTGTGCGTGGGTGTGCACAAAAGGGGAGGGAAAGAGGCAGGATGAGTTAAGATGAGAGCCAATTTGGAGAGAGACAGAGAGACACAGAGGCAGGAACAGAAGGAGAGAGGAGACGATGAGAGAGTGAGAATGAGCGAGATAGACAGATGGATACCCAGATAGATAGAAAGATATACATATATATA